AAACCTTAAAGACTCCCCAAAACCTATCTCTCTCATCTTCACCGTCTGTCACCCGTCGGGAATCGCCTACGGCGGCGGCGACACCCCAAACCACTCCAATATTACACCACACACTTGCCATCTTCCCCTCAACACTAATCCATTACTAATTTTCCCAAAATCCCCACCAATATTCTTCAATATCAAATCTAAGAAGGCCGAAAAAACTCTAATCCGCCCCTCTTTGGATTTTCTCGGAATTTTCGACTGGATGGACCAAAATTTGTGCTAATCATGTGTTTTACAAATGATTAGACCCCCTTTATATAGTAGGAGAGTCCTACTCATGATACGATTCTAAATACAGTAAGAAACCCCAGGATTAGCTAATTAATCGGCCTCTTCTTGATACGTGCCGAGATTTCCACCGTGATCCTCGCCCGATTGCGGATATTTTGGCTTTTCGTTATTTGGCTCGGTAAGCTTCCCTCGATCTTGCTCGATCTCTATCCTGCTCGGTCTCGATCTTGGCTGATCTCGATCTCGATCGGTCTCTGGGTCACGAGCTTGGCAATCTAACTTTGCATCATGGTCCGATATAATACGAGGTTAAACCTTGCCCTATCATATTCCAATCTCGATTAGTCATACGAAGACAAATTCGATTTTTACCATATACAGTATGCAAGGTTTCTTTCTTGGGTAATTGTTTTTGGTATGATCCATATTATAGGAATGGATTTTAAGTTCCGTAGAACTTTTTTTTTCCCTTGACAACAATGCAAAATGTTGAAGTGAATAACATGTGGTATAGAAACTTGAAACTATAATTGGAATTTCGTTGGACGAGCTTCGTTATGTGCAATCTTTGATATCATTATGAGGATAAAAAAAAAATAATGAATGTGTGCTAAGAATGGAAAGATTTTAATTTAGTCAAAAGAACAAATATGGGGAGATACGACAATGCACTCATGATGACAAATATCAACCTGCCTCGTCGTGATCTGAATTGGTCACATCTAATAATTAAATTGGAAAATTCTAGTTGTCAATGAGGCCTTTCTAGCCCCGTTAATTATTGAGGATTGCAATAAGTTCTTGTTTGTTCGGTCAATCTTTTGAAGATTGTCATGCAATTAGGCAGTAGAATACTGCAGCTTACAGTCTGTTTGCAAGCTTCTAAAATTAATTTATTTTAAAAATTATTTTTCTTAAAAATACTGTAAAACATTTCAGTGAGAAATAATTTATGTTTGAATAATTAATTTGTAAGTACTTGATCAACAATTAGTGTTTGGTCAAAATTTTTAAAAAAGTACTTTTTTTTTTGTTTCCCATCCGATGTCTATCCGTATTGGAGCCCGACTATATCTGGATTTGGGCTGGGTAAGGCCCCACTCGAGGCGAAACGCTCCCTATCAAGAATTTTTCATACCCAGGGCTCGAACAAGAGACCTCCGGTTAAGGCCCATCCGTTGCACCACAATCTTTGGCTGTTAAGTGTATTTTTCCTAAAAATACTAAAGAAAACTACTTTTCTACTTTTAAAATTGCTTTTGCTTCTATTCAAAAGTGTGTTTTCCTTTTAAAAACTTGGTCAAACAACATAACATTGGGGAAAAAAATACTTTTGACAATAAAAAACTTTGAGAAAATGACATTGTATAGCCGCTCTCAAAATAATAGGCGAAAAAACATATATTTTTTGTATATTTTTGTATATACAAAAATGATACAAATTTTATATACTTTTTCAGTTACTGAATATAAATAATTTTATGATACAGGTTAAAAGTGATAATAACCCAAAAACTTTTGACCACAAAACAGCTTGGCCTAACAAGCTATTTGTAATTCCCACACAAGACTAAGAAGACCGACAAGAAAAAACTTTAGATTGGGTATGATTTTGGGTAAACATCTTAGTCTTTTCTACTAAGATAAGATAAGATGCAATCTTAGTCTGTACCCTGGATTGCATTTTGTTTCTACTGACTGGCTTTTGCATCTTGTCGGATCCCATGTAGTCATCAATTAGATTATGTCAATGAATCCCTATAGTTTGGCAACCTAAATTGCCTATTCATGTCCCAGAAATTAAACACATATATGTACACTGATAACTGATTCAGCATCATAATAATCCAGAAAACAGAAGAATATGTTTCTGAAGCAAAATCTATTAAAGGTTCTTACATCACTATCACTTAAAGTCCTATCAAAAGGACTAGTGACTTACTTCAGCCTTGTACTATGACAATACATAATTCTCACGAGAGTGACAAAAAGTAATTGCTAAAAAAAAGAATATAAGAATGAAATAACAGCTGATTATCTCGATGAGACGAGACCTTCACTTCAAGATTTGCTGAAACTGGTGGCAATGGGGATGATAACTACAAGGATGAGAATTAGGAGAATTATAATGGCAACGCACATCCATTTTCTGCTGCTCTTTTGGTAGTCTTTTGCAGTCTTGAGATTCTTAGTTCCATCATTAACATACTGTGCTGCATTCATCACATGGTGCTCAATATCATCCATTTTCTCTCCTTGTGCCTCTACCATAACTGCCATGTCTAAGAATATCTGGTGCAGCTCCAGCAAGCTCTTTTCTATCTCCTTAGCCGCGTCGTAGCGGTCCTGTATCTCTACCACCGTTTCCAACACCTTCCCCCTCCCATGCTCCTGCAACCCACCCACCAATGTTTGTTAATCATCCAATTTTGTATAACAACAATAATAACTATTCTTCAATTCCAACTTAGTTTGGTTGGCTACAAGTGACAATTCAAACTTCAATAATCAGCTATATCAATCATTTGGAATACTTAATAATTTGGGGTCTGACTATATGAACCTTCACTACCACTTTGGACAAGTAACACCCCAAAATTCAAAAAAAGTTATGTTCTTTGACACAAGTCAATAAATCTTTATAGCAACAGTAACAACTATGCTTCAAGTCCAATATAGTTTGGTTAGTTATAAGAATCCTCACATATCAAATTGAACTAGTAATAATTCAATGTTCAATAATTATAAGGTCCGTTATTTCTCACTATCGATTTGGAACACTCCAGAACTCAATAATTCGAGGTCGGTAATACGAATCCTCACTATCACTTTGGACGAGTATATGAATCATATAGCTGTAAATTTAGTAATCCCATAAATCTTGAAATAGAATACTTCAAACTAAGACACATGAAACAGTTAACAAAAACTAGTATTGAATTGCAGAAAGAAAAATTGGTTAAACAGAGAGAAATTAGAAAAAAAGACATTATTTTGGACATACCTGAATTGCTCTAGAAAGAAATTCTTCACCACCTTGACCATTGCCACTAGAAATGATCTTTTCAATGACTTCTTCATCAGGGTGCTCGCCAGTCACAGTAAAATATCTTCTCCCAACAGTTTCTTTATACTCAGTCATCATCCTCTGCCTTAGCCCCTGAAAATCCATCATTAACTCCTTAAGCTTTTTCCTAAGCCCATTCGTAACAGCAGACCGTGTCCTATCAACCGGTGTACCTTCTTTACACCCAGAAAGCCGCCGGTTTATGGCATTCGACCGGTCCATTTCTTCAAGCTGAGACCTAATAGCTCTAGCCTTCTTTAACACAGCTAGAATATCCGCGTTTATGCGATTTCGCATAGACTTTAGAGCTTCGGGTTTGTGCAGTGACTTGCTTTCTTCGTTTGTGTCTTGTAAACGGCGAAGGATATCTTTGATTGAATTCATTTCGAGTTTTACCTTCTCTGCTTCTTCTAAGAAAGCAGTGAGATTTTGGTCCATTTGGGTCATACCCATTTCCAAATCTGGACCAGCTTCAACATCTTTCATTGCTGCTTTTTTCAAATCAACGTAGCTTGTGAAAGATTTGGTCATAAGGTCATTCATCTTGAATGATTTGAAAGAAATGAGTGTGAATTCAAAATGGAAGAATTTGAGAATGATAAGAAAAAAGAGCAGAATTTGCAGTGAGATACAATGCCAATGGACAAATCTATAAGCTATAAAGGGGAGGATTGCAGCAGGGGAATTAAGGAGAGATAGCCGTTGGAGGGAAATCTTTTGTGTAACGGCTACATTTGGTTTTTGAATAAAATAAGGTTTTCTTGGATCTGATATTTCGTGTTATCAAAAGTTGTCGTCCACGTGTTAGTTTTCACAGTTTTTAGCTATGCCGATACTCCGGTTTAACAACGTAACTTTTCCTGAAAAAATTGGAATCTTAGCTAATCCCTCAGTGTGACAATAAGGGATCATTTTACTTTTTTATTTTGGTTCAAAATAAGTGTTCATTTGCATATTTTCTTCGATCCATAATAAGTGACTAATTTGCTTTAGGCATACCCATTAAGAAAATACTGAATTCTATACAAAAATACCTAGTATGACTAAACTACCCTTAATTAAATATTTAATGTGAGGAGAAAGAAAACTTTTTAGGGATATTTACATAAGGGTAATTTTGTAAAAACAAATTAAATTTTTTCTTGATTATATAAATGAACACTTATTTTGGACCAAAATAAAAAAAAGCAAATTGGTCATTTATTGTGGACCGGAGGGAGTAATCAAAAAGGACTTAATTTTATTTTTTTAATATTTGCCCTTATTTACATATCACAATGTGCCAAAGTAACAATTAATTAAAGTTAATTTAGTGAATACATTTTTTTTTCTCTAGGGGTTCGTATTTCCTAAATAGGTGTCCAAAGATAAAATGATCACTAATTGTAAATCGGAGGGAGTAATTGGTAATTTAATTATACCCGTTTGACTTACTTTAGAAATTTGACTTCAGATAATGAATCCTAATATGAAAAGTAAAGTGTAAGAAAATGTTTGTTGTTTTAGTTACCAAAAAACAAATGCTTGTTGAAAGAGTAAACAAAAACATGTCAACTTCACATCAATAGGACAGACAGCATCAACCTTACCCTAGTTGGCCACATATAGGAGAAAATGCTGGTTATGATATTTACTCTAAAGGTCTCAACTAATACTGAGGAACACAGGATTGAGCAAGTTAAAAACACAATAGAGTTACAAATAGCATGGGAACAGGTCATAGCTGACAGTAGAACTCCAGAAAGATATCATGTTGGGCATGAATGTCTCAATAGGGATTAGAACACATTCTAGGTATGAGTTGGTTATTCATAATAGTGCAGGACAAGGTAAGAAACCAAACTCAGAATAAGCAACAGTAATAAGCATTCGAGCACATACATTAGCAGGCAGGCTTAAGAAGGCAAAATCAAGGTAACAAATAGGCAAAATAAGCTACTAGAAGGCATAGAGCCTCAAGAAGAGCTTCAAAATATATAATGGCATGTTGATTCATACAAATTCTTAGAGACATAGATATGCAGAGCAGGAATACAAACAGAAAGAAATAAAATTGCAAAAGTCATAGATACATTACCAGTTACAGAAGAACAAGTAAACAAGAGGAGTAATTTCAGCAACACTTCAGTGTTAATAGCAAAACGAACAGTAGAACCCAGGAATATCAGTGCGTTAGAGTTCCCAAGGGTTTCGAATGAACACCGGGCAGTGCTCACACTGAGAAATATTCAAGAATTAAATTCTGGTGACCTTGTCTTTCAACCGGCCAAAATATTGAGTCTCAGAATAGTACAATACAAGAAAGAATAAGAGAACAGTAGTAGTTTTTAGCAATTAGAGTCTCTCCAAAGGGGAAATTGGGGAATGATTTATATAGTGGTAGTCTAACGACCCGACCGATCGTATTGAGCTCTAGCGCGCCGTTTGGCAGTTTAAATTCAGAAGCTTTAAGTTGAATGAGTTGACAAAGGTTTGACTTTTGAGTAAATGACCTTGGGATCGAGATTTGAAGGTTCCAATAGGTTCGTATGATGATTTTGGACTTGGGCGTATATCCGGTTCGGGGTTTGGATGACCCGGGAGCGTTTCGGCGCTTATTGTGAAAAGTTGGCATTTTGAAAGAATTTCATAAATTTGGGTTGAAGTGTATTTTAATGTTATCGATGTTCGTTCGGGATTCCAAGCTAAGGAATAGATCCGTATGGTTATTCTGGTCTTAGGAGCGCGTCTGGATGTGAATTTGGAGGTCTGTAGGTCATTTCGGGGTCATTTGGTGGAAGTTGAATATTTGGAGGTTTTGGGAAGTTTGACCGGGAGTGGACTTATTGATATCGGGTTCGGATTGCGATTTCGGAAATTGGAATAGGTCCGTTATGTCATTTATGATTTGTGTGCAAAATTTGAGGTCAATCGAACATGATTTGATAGGTTTCGGCATCGAATGTAGAAGTTGGAATTTCTTAGTTTCATTAGGCTTGAATTGGGGTGCAATTCGTATTTTTAGCATTGTTTGATGTGATCTGAGGCCTCAACTAAGTTCGTATGATGTTTTAGGACTTGTTGGTATATTTGGTTGGGGTCCGGGGGGCCTCGGGTGTGTTTCGGATATGTTTTAGGTGTTATGGGATCATTTTGGGCTACTTTTGATGCGGGTTTTCTGATGTCTGGTGTTGTTCTTCACGTTCGCGAAGAAGGATTTTGTTGCCGGGACTTTGTTCTTCGCGTTCGCGAAGAAGGAATTCCTGTTGTCCGTCGTCTGAATTTGAAAGCTTATATCTCGCAATCTATAAGGAATTTAGAGATGATCCAAAAATGAAAGTTGTAGCCCTTTGTGTCTAGTTTTCAGAACAGTCAAACCATTTGGCATTTGGAGTTGTGTACAAAAAGTTATGGTAGGTACACTACAGGCTATCCGGGAAGATGTCTGGAAATCTCAAAGAAGAAATTTGTGTTGCACAGGGCTGACTTTGTTAGCTTATATCTCGAAATCTGTAAGGAATTGGGAGATGACCAAAACATGAAAGTTGTAGACCTTGGTTTCTAGTTTTCATTAAGTTAAACCATTTGTCATTTGGAGTTTTGTACAAAATGTTATGACCATTATACTAGAGATTGTCTAAGAAGAGTTTGGAAATGGCTTTTGAGAATTTTGTTCATCGCGAACGCGATGGGTGGCTCGCGAAGGCGAAGAAGGAAGTCGGGGCAGTGTTGTAAGTCCTCTATTTCGGACCTTTGAGCCATTATTTCGTATTTTTAGTTGGGAACCTCAAGATTTAGCGATTTTGGAGAGGAATTTCACCACAAAACATGGGGTAAGCATTCTTGACTCACTTGTGATTATATTTCATGGATTAATCTTCATTTTTAGATTTTTCAAGAAGAACTAGGAAGAAATTTCTATAATTTCACAAAATGAATTTTCGAGTTTTAAATACCAATTCGGAGTCGGATTTGAATGAAATTAGTATGGTTGAACTCGTAATTGAATGGATTTTTGGATTTTGTGAGTTTCGTCGGGTTCCGAGATGTGGGCCCCACTGCCAAATTCTCGAGCGGAGTTGGAAATTTTTATAAATTGTTAAATTTCAAGCATTGGAGTATATTTTTGATTAATTTGCACGTTGTTTGACTAGTGTCGGATTGAACAGCACCATGTTGGGGATTTAGAACGAAACTGTGACCGGAAAGTGGGCTTTAAGACGAGGTAAGTCTCTTTTCTAACCTTGTAAGAGAGAATTAACCCCATAAGTTAATTGAATTAATATGTGCTTCTATTTGTGGAGGTTGCATACACACGAGGTGATCAGAGTCCATACGTAGCTGCTAATTATGCTTATGTCCGGGTAGTCTCAGGTTTACACCATGCCTTGTTGACATCGTTATTTGATTGTGCTTATTATTTTCCTTGAATAGAGCTGAGATTGAGGATTTCAAGATTTAAACGTTTTCAGTTTAAATTTCTTATTTTCTGAAAGAATTGAGGAATAATATGATAACTTTGAGAAATCTATGTTCACTCGCGTCGCAAGTATATTCCGCGAGCAAGGTAAATTACATTACCCTCATGGGAGCAGTTGTTCGCTTCGGCAGGCTAATAGATGCATCTATGGTTCGGGCTGTACGACCTCGGCATAATTCATGCGTAAAAAATTCTTGGAGCCCAATTATAATTGATTTCGTTTCATTGGCTTGAGAGATTAATTTGTTAAATGATGAAAATTAATTAGGGATTTACTATTAGTGAAAGAATTATTTATGTATTTCTTGTTATTAAGTTTTCAGCTATATTTATATAATCCATGCTTAATTATAATTTCAGTACTTTATTATTAGCCCATAGTAAGTGTCGAAGTCGACTCCTCGTCACTACTTCTTCGAGGTTAGACTAGATACAGATACTTACTAGGTGCGCGTTGATTTACGTACTCATACTACACTTGTTGCATATTTTGTGCAGGTACATATATGTCTACTGGTCTTTTGGGCACGGAGGCACGACTATTGCGGGGACTTACGGTGAGCTGCATTCCATGTACAAACCCACAGAATACAGAGTCCCCATCAGAGTTATTTACATTCTCCTGTCTAATTTGTATTCTAGACAGGTGTTAAATGTTATCATATTTCCTAGTTGATGCTCAGGCACTAGTGACACCGGATTTTGGGGGTTCTTACTGGATGTTTAGTATGGTAGTTCACGTAATTATCATTGTTTCACCCTATGAATTCTATTTCATATTATTTAATTAATGGGAATTATGATTTCAAAAGCAATAAAAATGAGTAATTAAGTGGATCTATCATCGTTGGCTTGCCTGACAGCGGCGTTAGACACAATCACGACCTATAGTGGATTTTGGATCGTGACAGGTAGAATCGGGCAAATAAACAAGGAAAGAAATCAAGTAAACATGAACAAAAAGAGTAAAATCTCGCATGCAAGTCAGTAAAGTAACCGTAAAGGAAAGAAATCAAACTCCAAACCCTAGTTAGGGTTTAATACTCAAAAATCGGCCAACTGGTATGAAGAATCAGGCTTTTCTTCGTATATATGGACGAGATATTGTCCAAATCTTCAAGATTGAGGTTGATTCCTGTCCGATATAGAGATGATATTTGCCAAAATTGGACAAATACCTAACTAATACCATAACCGCG